GCCGGGGCCGGGCCGGCCCCCCCCTAAATCCGCCCCTGACTTAGCTTAGCCTAGTTAGGCCTAGGTTGCTGTAGTATGTTGTGTTAGGCCTTGTCATAATGGTGTGTTTGTTTTGCTGCATTATGATAATTGTAAGTAAGTAAAACGTCTATTTATTTTACAGAATTATTATTGTAGAAAATCTCTAATTAACACACTGCAAATGCAGGCGTCAGTTAGTGTATTAGCACGAGCAGTGGAGCTTGACAGGAAGAAGCGGTACACAGAAGCGGCCATATGTTATCAGGAAGGGATACAGCTGTTACTCAACGTTTTAAAAGGTTTGTGTGCATTCCCAACCTTATTTCCTGACAGAAAAAAACATATCATTAAATCATTAATGATCCTAGATGGTACTACTGTATTATATCATTAGTTTTCTAAAATTTGTCTAACAGAAGAAAAAAATGATGCTGTTAAGAAAGGAGTACGAGAAAAAATAGAAACGTATATGTCCAGAGCAGAAGAATTAAAGAAAATTGTTGAAGAACAGAAGAAAGGTAATATAATACCAAAAATCATATGGATGTATAACATTAATAATAAAAAATAATGATATAGTATTTATAATATTATTGTAATAAATGTCATGTAATTATACATTATTTCATTATATCCGTTAATTTTGGTTTGGTCAAATGTAAGAAGGGCACCATTTGAATAAGCGTCCCTCTCGAATAACCGCCTCTCCTAACCTGAAAATTTCCTTAAGCGCCTCGTTTGAATAAGCGCCCCCTTCTAAATTTGAATAAGCGCCCCGACAATAATATCATAAGATTTTCTTTTTAGCAAGTTAATAATCCAATCAATCCTGGGACTGTGGTTGTTGGCATGATTTGAGCTGCAAAGTGGAAACAGATTCTTTGTAGGTCAATATCAAAAGAGGATATTTCTCTTGGACAGATGAGAGCTCCGATCCCTGGACAGACAGTGTATTTCCAACTTTACTCTTTTTACATATTTGTCTATGGATAGTCCTACCCTCTTTTTCTTTTTCCGACCTTTAACACATTCTCATCTGAGTTTTCAAGAAAAAATTCAATGATCCTGCCATCCTGCTAATCTCAATCAGCCGATGACCAACAAGCTACCACTTCCCACCACCACTAATTGCATCTACTATTTTGCTGTTATGTAAATATTCACGCATTCTTGTCATGAGCCATGTTCTCTGGAGGATTATCTTTTCCGCCTAACCACCATTCGTAATGTCCTTTTCATTTAAAAAGTGCCTCTTGAATTTAATACGCCCCGTTTAAATAGGCACCCCGTTTGAATAAGCACCCCTCGGAAAGTGCAAAAAATATTTAAGCGCCCAGTTGATTATTCGCGCAAGTACGGTATTCTTATATGTTTGTGATTTTCTTATTTTTTTGTTTGTATTTGTAATGTTTTATGTTGTTCTTTGTATTGCCAGAATGAGTAAAATAAAATAAGTAATTTTGTTTTTTATTTTTGAAGCTGGAAAATTTCATGAGGAGATTCAAATTGATGACGATTCAACAGGGCACAGCTATGAACACACATTTGGCCGGTTTTTGGACAAGAGTGTCCATCGTGTTGAGGTTGATGACCCTTATATTAGGATTAACCATCAGATTTTAAACTTTTTACGCTTTTGTGAGCTTGTCATTAAAAAGTGCCCGTCACTGAAGACTGTTGTTCTAACTACAGGACAAGATGAGGTTTGCAAGATTTTTATTTAAAAATAGTAATAAAATAATAATAATGATAATACTAATGGTGGTTGCTGTCTCTTATACACATCGGGGCTCTACAGTCCGGAAATATTAACAGAGAGCCTATGGCCTTTGTGTTTAGATATCTTATTTAAACAATTGTTAAAAATATATGACATTTTCCCCTCACTCTTATTCCAAGGCCAGGGCTGTCTGAGAGACCAAACATTGAATATAGTTCATATCACTATTTTATTAGGCCACTGTCAACTAATTAGAAGAATAGATATTAATAGCCAATGATGAAGATGATAAAGTTAAGTACAACATTATATGCATAATTTTATACTGAAAATAACTTTAATTGGATTGTTTATATTTGCTTTAATTTTTCTTTTTCATTTCATAGAAAAGTGTGGATCAGCAGACAAGTGCTTTAGAAGAATTGGCAAGAAGTTTATTGCAATATGGAGTGAAATTAATTGTACAGTATTCATCAACGTTACATGATAGAGCAATAAGGTACAGTATGTAGGTTCAGATTAATGAGAATGATCATTGAAAAAGCAGGGTGTTTATAGTGGCACCAAAGATTCCTTGATATAGATGTTGATTTTCAATAGCCACAGTGCTTATGCAATAACAATTTTAATGGGGTCTCCTCAACGACCCCATTTGAATTAAATTAACATTTGTTGATTTTATGGGTCGTCGATGCATCTTTTCTAAACAAACAATTTTCTTTTTCCATTTCTTTTTTATGTATCTTATGCAGTGGTGTCACCAGCAGGGGGTGGGGGTGGAGAATTTGCCTCCCCTCCCATGTAGAACAGGGACTGCATGTTGTCCAATGCCATGATGTGGTTGTTGGATCAAAAATTTAAAAAAAAAAAAAGAATTTGCGTATCCAAATAATGCTATTTTGATTGCCAATCCCTAATATTGTGGTCTAGAAGCACAATTTGGACCATACTCTCCCATGAACCTTACATGGGATTTCTTTTATTTTGGGACCCCAACCTAGGCTGTAGTTGGCCCCTTGGTTCGGACCCCTTGGTCAGACAGGTCAGACCCCTTTTTTTTCGGCAAATTACTAGAGCCACTGCTGATTGTGTGTCATTGTTATTTTATATTGTATTTCAATGGATGCTAAATAAAGTAAAGTAAAAAGGGTAATTGTACAGTAAGTATATGGTAATTGTAACTATAAAATATCTACTAATTAAAGTATCTTAAATTTTGTTTTATACTTGTAATGTAACCTCATGGCAATTTAAAAAAAAAATATCAATAATATTGAACATGTTTTTTTTTATAGGTTAGATAGCGGATGGATTATCAAGATTGGGCGTGGTTTAGACTATTTCAAGCCAACCAAATCAAGATTGTCCATTGGCTATTGTGATATGCACTTCAGGAAATGTCACGAAACAACAATTAATATATTTCATGAGATACAATCATAGCCAGAGGAAAATGTGCGGCGTAAGCCCGGTACTGACTGACATGCGATTGCAGGCTGACGAATCCATCCGCATTTTCTGTGAGTGATTGAGGATGCAAAGGTGTCTGTTGAATATCAGCGGTATGAGCAGATTAAAAATGGTCCGTTGGGCACATGCCGCATTGCATCGTGTTCGCCATCAAATAATGTCAACCGATGACTGTCGGATTAGTGCACGCCTGGTTTGAAGCTATGATTATGCCAAATGATTCTAGGCCAAGTGCTTCTGTAAGCATGGCCAACCAATTAAAGGCCAAGCGGTTCATCGCTGAGCAGTTTTTGACCAATCAGTTCTAATGGACAACCAAAATAAGCTGATTTCTTTCCTAGCCAATTCCACGGATATTACCGAATTATGTATATGTCTGTAAAATCATATATGTATCTTTATATAAAATTGTATACTTTTTGGTATGGTAAATTGTCTGAAGCTCTGTCCACACTATCAAAATTTCAAGTGAGCAATTTGTGTGATGTGCCCATATATGGGCATGATGATGTTATTACACCTAATATGGGCATATCACAGTACTCAACGAAATGAACCAGTCGAATAAGCCCTATGTTATCGTGCAACAGTTGACCTTTCTAATTCCGGTGGAGGTCATGTGTAGGTGGATCGATATCTTATGTGTGGTTAGTAACAGCAAAGATACTAGAAACACAAGATAGAATTCTCCACAGAAAAAAACTGTTCCACCGAAATGCATGGTGGGAATACAAACAATAGGGCGCCGCATACGGCTGGATCTAAGAAACTTCTGCCACCGTTACATAACTGTGAATGCACATTCTCCTTTTGTGGAGGTTGAAATCGTTGCCATTATCCATAAGGTACAAGCAAGTAGGCATGAATAAATCAAAACAATCAAATGACAGACACAAAAGCGCAGAATCGTATGACTGGACTCTGATTAGTGATAAAGTTTTCCTCCATTAGTGGAAAAAGAAGGGCGCAGTGTGCGTCTGGATATACCTAGCAACAGAAGGGCGCCCTATACATCTAGACCAAGTATAGAAAAATTGCATTATAAAGAGAAGGTCGCCGCGTACATCTGGACCAATTTCCACCTCATTTTTGCTATGCGAGTTCTCTATCTTGTATTTCTAGTATCTTTGAATGTGCCCATATATGGGCATAATGATGTCATTACACCTAAAATGGGCATATCACAGTTTTTTGTCACATAATATTTGATAGTGTGGACTTCAGATTTTGACTTGGTAATTTCTTCTCTAAAATTTCTTTTTATATATTAATTTGTAAAAAAATTAACAAAACAGCATATCAGCTAATGTATTTTCTCTTTGAGTGGCTCAGCTGGCAATAAAGATAAATTTTTATAACTAGTATGGAGTTAATATATAATTAATGTATGTGAAAAAGTAATCAAAGTTTTTCAGCAGTTTAAGTAAATCAGCTTGATCATTACCCTCACATCCTCATTAAATACTGGTATCAAGAACTCTATCTATTTCTTTCAGTCAGGGAATTGATGAAAAGCATTGTTTACCTTATTTTGAAGCATGATTTGTCAGTGAAGCATAGTTGAATATGGAATAGTGGCATATTTTTTTATAACTTTATTCTATTCCACCTAGGGTACAATACCGAAACCAAGGAGGCAAGCCTGTGAACTGGTCCGGTAGATAACCTTGGTTCGAGGCCTTTATCTCTTACTATACAGCCCGGTATTTAACCTGGGGGCCAGTTCCAATCAGTTGGGGCCAGCGGCGAGCCGACATAAATTATGTACTTCCATTTTTTTTCTATGTCAGCCTCACCCAATTTCTTTTATAGCAGTGGATTCGAAATAGAAGGGGCCAGGAAAGAACTTTCACAGATAGGGAAAAATACTACCTCCATAGAATATTTATAATTATGGCACCTCCAGATGGTCGGAAATGGCACTCTTGGACTTTTCTTTTCTCTTCATTTTATTTTAGAATTTTGAAAAAAAACCCCTTGCACTCCAGGCTCTCCTACCCTGCCACTAGAAATTTTCCTACCAAAAAATATCCACTCACCCAGTGGTTGGGGTTGAGTGGAGGTGAGCAAATTTTTAACATAGATACCTCTAGATTCCTGGAAATGGCACTTTCAGACAAATATGTTTTCAAATCAGTGTTTTCAACAGAATAACATACCACTGAGCTAATGGTGCCTCACATCGTTAGAAATCGCATCATATCAGCGCCGCACTTAATCCATTATCCCCTTTAGTCTCCCCTCCCCATGTCAAAAGGGGCGGATCCAGAGATGTCCGAAGAAAGTGGGGCCAATCAAGATAACACTATCAGTGGCGGCATCAGGATTTCCCCGACGGGTGTGTACAAGGTCTCCGACAGGGGGAGGGTGGTGCTGATATCCCCGACGAGAAAAATGTGGGCGTGGTCGGGCGCCGCTGTTGCCTGGCTAAAAACCTTTCGAAAGTGGTCTAGGGGACGTAGCCTCCAGAAAATATGACAAATTACGGGTTTCAAAGGCTTATTTAATCGATTTTAATCTATTAATATGTACAAAATACATCTAATTTTTTTGAATTTTTTTTTCTCCCCGACGAATTGTTGTTTTTCTCCCCGACGAGGGAGGGGGGTTGTAGCCCCCCTTACCCCCTCCCGTAGCACAGTCACTGAAAATATCGTATTGTTTTTTTTTTTTTGTTTTTTTTTCTAGACGCCCAATAAAAACCACTGAGGCGTTTTCAATTTTTTCTTTTTTTTTTTTTCTTTTTTTTCTTTTTTTGACTTTCCAAAAGGGCCCGCCGGTCCTTCCTTCCTCCACCCCCGACCTTCCTAAATCCGCCGCTGGTCAATACTCCTACGCCACTATATACAGCAAGCTACACTCAGAAAAAGCTCTGAATTCCTATCAGCCACTGGACAACAATTATGAAGTCGACATATTACAGTATAACTTTATGCCTAAAAAAACTACTGTAATAAAATTTACCAAACTTCGTCAAATATCCGTTGGTACCACCCACCGAGGTCCCTTGGTGGACCCTGGCCCCCAGTCTAGGTGCTCGCTCGTATACTGGACCTTATGGAATCTCCCCCCTCCCCCACTTTCAAAAACGTTCCGCCGCCATTGATACCAGATAAATAGGCCTAATATGTTTCTATATAATTTATTATAGCTTGGCGTGTACGCATTGTTTATACACAGGAAAATGGATAAACCGTAGGAATGCCTGTCTCTTATACACATCTAGATGTGTATAAGAGACAGGAAGGGGCCAAGGAAAAACTTTCACAGGTAGGGAAAAATACCACCTCCAAAGAAAATTTATAAATATGGCACCTCCAGATGGTCGGAAATGGCAGTCTTGGACTTTTCTTTTCTTCTCCATTTTATTTTAGAATTTTGAAAAAAACCCCTTGCACTCCAGGTACCCTGCCACTTTCAAACAAATATGTTTTCAAAGCAGTGTTTTCAACAGAATAACATACCGCTGAGCGAATGGTGCCTCAAATCATTAGAAGTTGCATCATATCAGCACCCCACTTAATCCCTGTCTCTTATACACATCTTACTTTTTGGTATGGTAAATTGTCT